AGTATTGATGGTACCTTCTCTTATGAAGTAAATTTTATTTTCAGTATCTCTCGCATTAGAACAAGATGCTAAACCACTGACCCAGTAATCTGGGGATTTAACTAATGCAAAATACTATGTGTTTCTAGGCAAAAATTGTGAAGAGGAGTTCTGTGTAGCTTATATTTTGGTGTTTAAAGTATCATGAAAATCTAGTGTTTGTAAGAGTACCTAACTTGCTTTTAATGGATCAAAGAACCAGGTACATGGGGATGTTGAATTTTGAAACCTTTTTTCACTTGATCAAAATCTGTTAAAATCACACTTTAGCACATCCAAAATAAGTGAAATATGACTACTTATGCTTAACATGAAGATTGTAAGATAAAATTTAGTGTTGCATCAGTTGCACTTTGTGTTATCTACATATATGCCCATATTTTAAAGGTGCTCTCAAAATGTAAATGTTCAGTGGGTTTTATTTTAAGTTGGCACTTATTTCAAAAGCAGCAGTTCTGCCCTTGTTAGCTGTTGCACTATCACTTTCCTTCTGTAAGCCTGAGAGCTGGTGCAACAGTGTAGGGAACCAGACTGGGGAGCTTCATCTTGCTGGAAACTGCTGCAGGCTTTTTTTGGCTGTATTTATTTCAAGCCTGATAAATACTCTGATCTGGTTCATTATGCAACTGTATAAATGCATGTGCTGGCAAAAGGGAGGAAATGACAGGGGTGCGGGAATGGGAGATGGAGAACAGGAGACTGATACTTTCAGCAACATGGCCAGTTTATGCTATTTTAGATGGTAGCTTGAGAAAATGTTGATGATTTTCATGTGTGCCTGTTACACCTATGTTTTTTTTCTCTGCAAGAGCTCTTCCTTCTATTTCTTTAGCAAACTCAGAAAAAATGCTATTGGGACTTGGGTGTTCAGTTCTCACTAACCTGCCACTGGGGAATAGGACTAGTAGATTAAAAGTTTTGAGTTGTCCTGTGATTCTTTTGAGGAGTTTGGGGACCAGGAGAGACATATAAGAATGTGACTGTCTTGCAGTAAGTGTCATAAAATGCAGGAAATACTGAATGGTTTATTATGTACTTCAGTGCCTTTGGGTTCAGGAACTAATGAACATACGGTTGGCTGCACAGCTCATGTGCTCTTGAGGACACATCAAGGTTATGTGAATTGCAGGATATGGCCTCCCTTTACTTCCTCTGTGATGGCAGATTAAGGTGTATGGGTAGCTCTAGGCAGAAAAGGGTTCACCGATTTATTGATTTTTATCATTCACAGTATCATCTGTCTTGTTATGTAAAACAGTTTGACACTTCCCGTAGTGCTTGTAGGAGGAAAAAAAAATGTTTTTTGTAAAAGCTGATGGTACTTAAGTGGCTTGAACTTCAGCACAAGGGGTGCTTGGCCAGCACTGTTGACTAGGCATAGGCAATCCTTCTCATGGACTGAGGAACAAACTGAGAAATAGGTAGCTGCTTGAACACAGAATCCTATGTTGGTTTTAGGCCATAGTGTGAGGTTCTCCCAGGCTTTCTGAGGAGCAGTTAGGAACATTGAAGCTATGCTGGAGGAGGCTGGCAGGAGCTTCTCTTTTTAACTGAACTCTTGGTTTGGAATTCACAAAACGGGGTATTGTAAAATGGCCCTCATGGAAAGGCCTGAAGATTTTGGACAGGTATTTAATTTCCTTCAGAATAGAGAAACACAGGGTAGCAGACTAAATCACTGAATTTTAAAAGCTGTTCTTAGCTTTACCTTTTCAGGCTTCATGCAAGAAGAGCTCATGTGGTAAAATAGTTAACAAGAAAACTCATGTTCTGGCTTTGCTATGTTAATATTTTGCTGTACCAGTTGTCTTACTTGGCTTTTAGTTTTTTTCTGAAATGAGATTGTCACAGATCTGACATCTTCCTTTTGCTGCCACAGTAAACGAACAGACATGCAGGCTGCTGCAATGTCTGGGGCTTGAGCTGTTTGGGAGATGTAGATGTGTTTTAAACTTTGGCAAATTTAGATACAAATATATGCAATAAGCTGCTGAATAATTACTGCATAGGTTATATAGGTATGTATGTGTATATAGGAGAGCATTTAATTATGTATAGAAACATAGAATCATAGAATGGTATGGTTGGAAGGAGCCTTAAAAGCCATCTAGTCCAAACCCCCTGCAATGAGCAGGGATGTCTTCCACTAGATCACGTTGCTCAGAGCCCCGTCCAACCTGGCCTTGAACACTTCCATGGATGGGGCATCCAGAGCTTCTCTGGGCAATTCAGCACCTCACCACCCTCACAATAAAGAATTGTCTCTTGTCTTCTCTTCCTGTCAACAAAATACCAACAATACCTTTCAGTGTCTATGATTACTAGTGGCCGTGCAGTGCTTTGAAGATGTTCTGTGCAGCACTACATACCACAGTGTGATCAGACGGGAAATTCTCTCTCTGTGAAAAGGATTTAGTAACATGCCTATATCTGTCCAGCGTGAAATAATCAATTTGGTCTCTTGTAAAAAGCATGGAGTAGTTCAGAGCATAAGTATCCAACTTTTACTTGTTGATCCGAAATGAAAGTAGCATGGAAACGCATCTCCATTTCCAGGCTTCTACATCTTTAATCTCAATAAAGAGAAGTACAATCTCTATTTCTACTTAAGAGAAAGCAAAATGGGTCAAAGTAGTTGCTGTAAACCATATTGATTTAGTATCAGGGCTTGAAATACATCTCAGGAGTCCTGTTTATCATTGCTTCGCTGGCCCCCACCAGTCCTGTGTCCAGGTAAGCACTGCAAGGTGTGATGGACCTGATTTTGTATGTCCCATGCAAATAAATAGGGATGTCTTACAGTCCAAAAATCGGGATATTCAGTGTTTGGGCTTCTGTGTGGCACTAGTCTCTGGGAACAGTTATCTATCTCTGCATAGCTGAACCTGAACTCCTGGGACCATTTTAAACTTGGTCATAATTTGAGGTGGGTGTCTCTGACTGGTCTGCTGTATGAGCAGAGGCACATGCAAACAGGTACTTGAAGCCAGTACTAAACACTAAAACTAGTTTTATAAATCCCTGTAGAGTGTAGAGTTCTGCACTGTCCTGCTAGAAAGCTGGAAATTTATGATATGACATGGTTACAGTATTAAACTTACCTGTCCAAACATTGCTCTGGTGTCTTATCAGCTGAGACTGATCTCCAGAAGTCTTAATGTTCAGTGAAGCTTTTAAAAGCATTAAGTTAATGTTCACTGACAGACTCTGTTTTGGGGCTTATTCTAGTCACAATATACTTTTCAGTTCTGTGACTTTCAATTGCTAGACTTTCAAAAGAGCAAATTTTAGAGCAGAGAAATAGATAACCAGAATGCTGTTGTAACAGGAAGTTTTTATCAAGTGAAAACTGTGTCTTTCTATAGTGGGTTTTTTCTTGTCCTTTTAAAAATTCCAGATACAACACCTTTGTAAAACATAGTGACAAATAGCACTGTTGTCCAGGGAAAGACTGGACTCTTGTGCTTCTGTGTCTTGTGTTAGTGTCTGTTAAAGTTGATGTTGACTGTGCCCTCTCCTGGAAAAGTGTGGTAGAGAATATTTTAGGTAGGGAATATATTAAGTCAGTATACTGCCATGTCTGGCCAAGGGGGAAGAAGTATTAAATGTAGATGGAAATTATTATCTTATTAAGTTTCCATGTTTAGTTAAATGAAGGTCTGCAGTTGCAAAGGCTCTGGTTCAGAGACTTGAACCTTTCTGTTTCAAGATTTGTTTCCCACTGACAATAGAGGAAGGAAGTACAGTCATGTTGTGATGTCCCTGTTTGGTGGGAAGCAGTATTGTCTAGGGTATTAGGAGAAGTACTTTCTGGTTAGGGGACAAATAATGATGCTCGTACTACTACTCCATTTATTTCAATACTTCAGACACTATGGTTTTCACTTTTTGTTAGTTGTGATTTACCAGTGATGCAGGGTCAGATGCATCAAGTGTATGATTTCAGGATTGTTCAGCTTGAAAATGTGGGCTTTTCATATAACAGAATTTCAACAGGATGTCTTCATCCTCTCTCATTCTGGTGTCTTAAATATAGAGTTTGAAGCTAAAGGCTGAATCATGTAAAATTGAGTGCCAAATTTTGCTATGGTGGACAATTGCCCCTGAAATAGAGCTTCTGGCCATGATTAAGTGATGAAGCTTGGCTCTCTGCCTGCAATATTTTGCAGAATTCCCAGATGGTCATATCTCATGGCCTATTTGCTTTACTGATTTGCATATCTGATCGTACTTAGATTTTGTTTCACTCTTCCCCAGTGGCTTTAGCATGTATTACAGAAAGGATTGCTGTGTGTTGTTGAAGAGCTTTTGTAAAGATCTGTATTGCTAAGCTCATTTTCCTTGAACTCACAACAGCAGTGATGCAGGAGTGTGGTTTGAGTATAGTAGGTCTTCTGGGGAGAGCTAAGATGCAGAAAAGTCTTTCAGTTTCCTTTTTTTTGGGTTATTATACCTTGGACATGCTATTTAATCCAGTCAGATCATTCTTGGCTAAGGTTTTTCCTGTAAAATCAATCTATGCCAAAATTGCTTCATATAATGGCATGTTGGAAGCATTCTGGGAAGCAGCAGAATCCTTTGAAGACTGTTAAATTAATCATGTGGGTTTGTGCATTAGTGTTCTATAGGAAACATTTCCTTTCATTCTCAGTCCAGTCTGTGTACTTGCCTCTAACCAACATGACTTCCATGGAAACTAAATGGTTCTCCTATCATAACTGAGAACCTAACTGCCAAAGCCTTCTGTTATGGAAGTGTAGCTTCCTTCCATGGGGGGGGTGGGGAAAGTTTGCAAAAATCATTAAGAAACAGATGAACAGTAAGATTGAGATCAGATTTCTCCATAATTTGTCTGGGGGATTCAGGCCAGTTATCTATTGAGTAAAATAGTTGATCTGTAAACACAATCAAAACTTAAATCAAGTGGGCCTTCCAGTTTCTCTGTTACTTGTATGTTACAGGGTGTCAAGCCAGCTAGCTTCGATAAAGTAGCAATCCCTGAAGTGAAGGAGATTATTGAGGGATGCATTCGTCAAAACAAAGGCGAAAGGTAAGTACTTTCTTTTCAGAGAGAGGCATTACTTGCTGAGTCTTTTATGTGTGATTGTAGCAGAGACAGTTCTTGGGGTCTTCTGTGTTCTCATGAAAGTTGGGAAGCCAGTATTACTTCTGCAGCTTCTGTTCTTTGGTAGATTCCTATTCAGTGATTGTTTCAGAGAATTAACAGTGTCAGGAAAAGTGCAAATGCTACAGTAACCATCCATGTCAGTTTATTCAGAAATTCTACTGCTTTTAATAAAAACTTTGACCTAGTCAGAAAAATAGTAGAGGACAATCCTTCCAGGTTCCCAGGTATTTGGATTGTTTGGTTGGTTTGTTATTCTGTAATCCTTTGTTTTTCCTGTCCCTTTGATTTTGTTGGCGTTTTATGGCTGATTTTGAAAAATTAAATTGAAAAATAGAAAGCTGAACTGCTTACTATTTTTTTAAATTCTTGCAGGTCATTTTAATCCATATTTTCTGCAAGATGACTTCTACTTGAAGTGATTAACTAATACCATTAGAGGAAATCTGTAACTGCTCTGATGGCTTATTTGTGGGGTTTGTTTTGTTTTCTGCTTTTACATAGTTGTTGCTTACTGAATATCTGATTTAAGAATGCTTCAGCCTTCAGCCCTCCTCTAGCCTCCTGCTATTCTGTTCAGAGCTAGTTTTGTCAGTTCATGGATGTTTATTAATTCTCTTCTATTAACTTTTCAAGTTTTACATCTGATGGCGTTGCTGTGTATTTTTAATATCTGTTCTTTTTCTTAGTTTTAAACAATTTTGTATTTTTCACCATTTTAAGTTAATTAAGTTAATTTTGTGGCTGCACATCACTTTATTTCTTGCTGTTTAGTTTAAGCAGTTAACTTTTAGACTGCTACTGTTAATGCTATGTATATATGAACATAGATGCTTTTTGTACCTTCAGGACAAAGCTTCTAATTGTGCCAAACAGAACGCAAGTTGAAGTGGTTTAAAATAGTATAAAATATGAAAGGAATCATGTGGTGCTTATCTAGTGATGAATTTACTAGATGAGTCTTTTGATAAAATCTTGAAGTAGACTGAAATACATACTTGGATTACTGTACTGATTTGGGGGACTAAGAGTTGTGTGTTGGATCTTAATGTTCAGCAAAACCAAACTGTTTCTTCGAGGTTTCTTATTATTTTAGTTAATATATATCATGTTCAGTTGGCTTGAATTTGTTGGTCCTGCTGCTGACCAATGTGTGACTTTTTTTTCTTTGTGTACATCTGTAGTATTGTTGCATTTTGTTTCTCTATCATGCTTTTAAATAGAAAATTGAACAATGGGTTGCCAAATAATTCATGGAAGAAGCGTGAAATGTAGAGAATAAATTTGGGGAATCATCAGGCAAGAATACTCCTTAATATTTTATGAGAACCTAATAACTGTGTGTGCTTTCTACACTTTTTCCCAATATGCTAGGTATGCTATTAAGGACCTTTTGAATCATGCTTTCTTCCAAGAAGAGACTGGAGTACGGGTAGAACTAGCAGAGGAAGATGATGGAGAAAAAATTGCCATTAAACTCTGGTTGCGAATTGAAGACATCAAAAAACTCAAGGGCAAATATAAAGATAATGAGGCAATAGAGTTTTCCTTTGACCTGGAGAGAGATGTCCCAGAGGATGTAGCACAGGAAATGGTAAGTGGTGGTGGTCTTACAAAGCATTGTAAGTACTGGCGTTCTCTGATGGTGAAATGTAGTCTTGTCAGTCTCTGCATTTGCTGTTGTTACTGTCTAGAAATAAAACAGCTTCAGAAGTTTGTGAATAAGAAGGTAGTGCCAGAGAGTGGTAGCTTATATTGTAGCACTACAACAGTGGCTGTCTATGACAGTCTGAATTCTGTGAATATATCCTCCTTCAGGTGGAATCTGGCTATGTCTGTGAAGGGGATCACAAGACAATGGCGAAAGCTATCAAGGACAGGGTATCTTTGATTAAGCGAAAGCGAGAGCAGCGTCAGTTGGTGCGAGAAGAACAGGAGAAGAAGCTTCAGGAAGAAGGTAGTCAGAAGCAGCAGCTGGAGCAACAGCAACCATCAAGTGCTTCCCATGCAGGGTCAAAGCATCCCCTATCTGTCACTGGTACTACTCCTGTCCCCACTACTTCAGCATCGGTTTCTACACAAGTGGAGCCTGAAGAACCTGAAGCTGATCAACACCAACAACTGCAGTTCCAGCAACCCAGTATATCTATTCTTTGTAAGTGTGTCAGTTGGTTTATTTAGGAACTCTTGCACTTACACAGTTCTCCGCCTTAGAGTCCTAAGTGTTTGGTGGGTATAGCAGTAAATATCTTAAGATGTTGCTGTCTGCCATTGCTGTCTGCTGAAAAACATTAGCTCCCTAGAAAGCACAGCAAAATAAGATGCATTCCTGTGCCTTAGCTGAGCCAAGTCTTGGCACAATTCAATCTAGTGTCTTAACACAAAATAATTTTCTTTTGTTTCAAGTTAATACACTAAATGAACTGGGACACCTGAACCATGAACCCATGTCCTGGTTTTTGCTGCCCTCCTATAAGGATGGTATATTCTGTCCCTGGCTGTATACTCTTGCACCAGTGCGGTTAGAGCTATTAGAAACACTTATTTGAATCCTTGTTAACTTATGTTTAAGGTGGAAATGAGATTAAGGTACAAGCAGTTCAGGTCATAATTTGCTTTCTGAAAAAAGTTTCATTTTCTGTTTCACATACTATACATGAAAAGATGAATTAACACTCCTAACTTTTCTGCCATCCCAACATTTGAATAATGATGGTAGATGAGAACTTCTGTATTAGAGTGGAGTTAGAAAGCAAATTACTATCTGCTCTTTAGGTAATAAGGATTTTAAGATCTCTACTATGCCTACATCAGGTGCATCTGCCAACCAGCACAACAGACCTGTTTTATATGTCTGTTAAATAAAAATAATAATTAAAACCCCTGAAAGGTCATTCATAAAAATGTGGAATTTAAGTTTCTATTTCTAGTCTAACCTTTTATAGGAAGCATAGTTTACTATTCAGTATCTTCCCAAAGAACTCCTGAAATTACTGATTTTTTTCAGAGGTTAGGGGAAGGAATTGGTAGGGAATTACTCTATTCAGGAGGAAAAATGTGTGCTTTTTTTTTTTTAAACGAGGTAAAATGCTGATAAGGTCCATGTGACATGGCACAAAGCATCAGCCTAATATTTGATTGATTATAGTATCTTTAAAGTTGTGAGTCCAGACTGCAGTTCTTGAAATGCAGACTTTTATCTTTAACTTCTGCAGCTGATGGGACAGTTGACAGTGGCCAGGGGTCATCTGTTTATACCGAATCATGTGTGAGCAGTCAACAGACTGTGTCATATGGTTCCCAGCATGACCAGTCAATCTCAACAGCTGCAGTCCAGGGATATGCAGCTTCCATTGGCCAAGTGCAGTCACAGCAGCATGGAGGATATCAACCACCTGCCGCGGTAAGACAGAACTTAGTATTGCAAATGCATGGAATTATTTGATTTTTGATTTTCTCTTGAAAGACGGAGGGAAGGTCTGCTAGGCAATCTTCCATGTATGTTTTGTTTTGCATGTGGTACAAATTCTGCGTGGGAGTAGTAAAAGAGGTTATTTTTGCAAAGTTGACTGAGTCTGGGGGAGGGAAGAAGTGCAAAGGCATAGTTGTCTTTAAAGCTTTTATTTAATCCTGAGTGCACTTCAGCAGAATGATGGGTTAGGTTTTTTTTTACGGATGGAAGTAACATCCTCGGAACAAGACTATCTCATGAAAGTAAGCATTTAATCTCAATTTAATTTAGTAAAGGTCATGTGTGTATGTATATAGGAAATTACCAGGGATCAAGCTATTAGTTTGATTTGAAGAGGGGATTAGAATAATTTGAGTTACTGTATAAGTATGAAACTGCTAAGTGTGTTCTGTGAGACTTTGATTACAGACTCTGCAGGTAAGATTTTTTTTTAACTGTTATAGAATGCTGCATGTGAGAACTCCAGACTGAAAAGACCCTGCACCCTTGTTCCCAGTTTTATTTCTAGCTTGTGTTTGATTTGTTCATCGGTTGCCATGCATATTCCTTTTCTCTGGAAAGTCTGCACTGGGCACAAATACTTTTCCTACTATGTTCATTTGTGTTGCCCTTTTGTTTTGGTATGTTTTTTTCCCTTGGTGTGTTTTTAGATCCAAGTATGAGAGTGTGCAGAAATCTATTCTAACTCCGGAGTAGAATTTCTGCTACTGTTAATATTGTCTTCAGTGATTCCCTTGTCACTTGTTTTTTATACAAATAAAAATCTAAGCCTGAGGCAGAGACAATATATAATGTAGTAATACCATAAGGAAGAAGATGTGACACTCAAGACTGAGAGTCCTCACTTTCTTGGTACCTGTGTTTCTCAGCTTTGTTACAGAAATGTTGGTGTTACTAGCTTTTTGGAAAACATGCTGGTTTCACTCACAAGCAAAGTGTTGCCGTCTTTTTCAAAGGCACTTAACATGAAGCTTGTGATTCTGCTGGTCCTTGATCAATAACCTTAGAGGTTTTTAACCCCTTTAAGCTCTTGTATTTGGGTGAGCCATGTTTTGGTGGGTGGGCTTATATTGGACCAGAAGTCATTTCACTGTCTTGGGTTGGCTAACTTCTGGGTTGAAAGACCATAATCTTTTGAGAGGGAATGGGAGAACAAGCATATGACAGAGGTGTAGTCAAGCTGCTTAGTTCACTGCTAAAATGTGCTCATGCTCTATGATAACAACAGTGGTACCAGGAGATTGACAGAACTGAGTAGAACACTACAGGAACTAAGAATTTTGTTGGAAAGACAGAATGACAAGTCAAAATTATATTGACAACTGGAGAAATGGCCTTAAAAAGAAATAGAATGCTGTTCAATCAGGACAAGAACAAGGTTTGTGTTTAAACAGGAATAATCAGCAACACAAGTACATGATGAGCAACAGCTGACTAGGCAGCAATTCTGCCAGAAAAAAAAAGTCAGGGATTACATTGGGCCACAAGCTGGACATGGTCAAAAACATGATGCTGTTGTGAAAAAGGCAAACATGTTATGTGAAGTAGTTCTTCTGCTCTTGGCCATTGGTAAGTCTATCCTGGACGCCCCGCTTGAGTCAATTTGAGAGTGAATTGGGAGAGAATTCAGAGGAGAGTGGCAAAAAACCCCACCAGAAATACAGAAAATATGTTTTATGTGGGAAGACTGGAAGAGCTAAGCTGAGTCTATGAAAGATCAGCTTGAGGAGAGAGAAAGCTGTAAAGGCTGCTGTAAAACAGGAGGTGGCTAATCAGACCACAACATTATTGTCAGCTAGAATAAGAAATAATAAGCCTAAATTGCAGCATGGAATTATTATTTGGGAAGGGGTTTTTTCTAACCAACAAGGACAGTTAAGTACTGCAGCCTCCGTAACTGGAGATGTTTCTGAACAGGTTAGATAAATTAGTCAGGAATGACATCTATAACTAGTCCTGCCTTGAAACAGGTGAAGACTATGGGTAAAGTATTTATTTAACCCTTTGAGTTCTCTTATGCCTCTCCAAAATTTTGAGCAGTCTAGCAAGATTTCTCACATCAGAAATCTTTAAAATCAGATCTCCACTGGATATCTTGAGGTTTTTTTTCTCTGGAGGTCTGTATTTGATTTCAGTTATATTAAGAAATTGTGGATTAGATCCATAAGGGGCATATACCATTAGAGAAGGAAAACTTGCAGTTGAAGACTGCCTCTTTCTATTCGCTTAAAATACAACAAAACACACCATACCAAAAAAGCAATAACAAAAAATTAAAAACAAACAACCCAAAGCCCCTAATTCTGATTCTTCCAGGTTGGTTGGATTTTGACCTATGGCCTGGATTGTGGCAAGATTACAAAATCCTGATGCTTTTATTGGCCCAGTGTCTGGAAAATGCTTGTCTAAGACTAATTTTACTGAATTTTCCACACATCAACTTTTTTCCACAAATCATGTTGTAGAATGTGTAATGTTTAAATTTTTATGGTACCGTTTTCGTTAAAGAGCCAGCTGCATACAGTTAGTTCATTACAGTTAATTCATTTGATTCAGGCAGGGAGGTGCCCAAGCAGAGAGACTGGTGAGGTTCTATGTATAAACACCTATCCACTCACTAAACTAAGAATGACTGAAAGGTCATCAGTATCTGTTTAGGTTTTTCTATTTGTCAGACTACCAGATGTTGTGAGTGCACACAGTATGGGCTGCATCAGTGGCTTCAGAAAAAATATTCTCTTCTGTCCGCCCTGCTTTCCACATGCTTCTTGTAAGGGTGCTAGGGAACTTTCCACACTGCTCAGTAACCTAAGGCAAACTTGTGTCATCAGAGGTGCACATAGCCTGTTCCCAGTGTGTGTTGGCATTCATTCAGCATTTCTCATATCTTCTTGCACATGTGGTAGTCAATATCGGGCCTCTCATTGTGTGACTGCATTTCTTCTCTACCTCATTATAGTTTTTGCTGGTTTTGGTTTTCATTTTTTTTTTAAGTGTTCAATTCTTAACTTTTGTTTTCTTCCTTTAGCCTCAACGTGGTCGTAGCATGTCAGTTTGTGTTCCCCACCTTCCTGCTCTTCCCTGTATGTCCTGCATCCCTCTCAGTGCTCCTTGCACCCCACCACCAGCGCTGTCTGCACCTCTTTCTCCTTTCTACCTTCGGACTGTCCCTGAAGAAACCTTTGCAGAAAAGCTTTCTAAAGCCTTGGAAAGTGTCCTGCCCATGCACTCTGCCTCTCCACGCAAGCATCGACGCTCCAGCCTGCCCTCCCTCTCTGTCAGTCCTGTATGTGTTACCATTTGCCTCCTGGCACAGTAAGATAAGTTACCATTAAATACATCCTGGGCTTTCGGCATTCTTAAAATGAGAAAATGAAGAGCTGATTCCTTATTCCTTATACTGTGCTGCTGGAATGTTGATCTTTTTTGGGAAGCAGTACACTTAAACATTATCAAGCAGTGGCTGGCCATTTGGTTTTTGCATTTTAGGGTAGTATAAATGTGAATTACGCAGCTGTACCACAGAAGGTAAAGGGAAGACTAGTTTTTATCCCCTTAAGTCAGAAGACCAGCTTTTTATTTTCCAACTTCTAAGCAAGCATTGAATATTAATTAAGACCTGCACAAAACAACAAGCTTTTAAAGCTTGGTTGCTGTGGCTGGTTATTCTAAAAGCTTCAGCTAGCTGTGGTAGTGATACTAGAAATTCAGAGTATGAATACTTTTGAGAATTTTTCTGTAAGTTTTAATCAGAAGTGCCACTTCAGCAGCTTCTTGATGGGAAGAAGCCATTGTTTCATGTTTCTCAGAAGGTTAGGTGTAAGACAGCTTGCAGGACAGGAGGTAGTCCATTCTTCAGTTTTGGGCTTCGATTTCTCAAAATTTATTTCATTTAAATACTGCTCTGTAACTGAAGTATGTGGAACTAGTTTTCAGAACATAGGAAGAGTTCTTCATCTTTTAGGACCTTCTTGTTAGCGTTGGTCAATATGGAAATTTGCTGCTGCTTTTCCAGAAAAAAGGGGCTGGGGAGAAACAGTACAATGTGGAAACAGCAACTTACAAAAGTAAAAAATGGCATCTGTCTTAAAGACAGTATATTTGCTACTGACTCTTGCAATTTTTTTCGCTTTATGGTTGGTAATACATTGTCTCTCGGCATACTGTAGGCATAGATGAAAAAAGGCAGAATTACAAAGTAGTTTGATATTCTTACATAGTTAGGGAAATTTTCACTAAAGTCTTAAATAAGATGAGCCTCATCTGAAGTAGTACATCAGATGGCGTGGAATTGCCTGCAGACTCTGCTGTTACTAAACCTATGAATATTTTATTGTCCAGGCGAGAGCTAGGTTTGTTTCAGTGAGTGCTAATTTCTATGTGAAAAGTTATATGATCAAAAGTGATCAAAGGGATCAAAAGAGATGATCAAATTAGGCAGAATTGAAAGACTCAGCAGTTTTATCATACATTTTTTTCATCAGTGGGCTGGAATGGTTCAGTTTGTCTCATAAAAGGTTTCTCTTTTAGCTCTCTGGATTGCATACAGAATGCACTCCTGACAGGAGACTAGCACCGTGGTTTTTTTGTGTTGGATAATATTAAGGTGTAATGCCATTTTATCTTCTAAATGCAAACTAGAGGCTCTGCATTGTTGCTGCTATCAAGTTCTGAATTTTCGTATTCCTCATATGGCAATAACCTCGGTAGTTTGATTAGCTTTCAAGCACTGATCACAATGGATAGCCTGTGACAATAAATCACATTCCGTTGTCAGGAGCAAAACTGGTTTATTTTTGTGAATTGTTGGAATTGGACTGGAAAAGCAGCTCTAACACAAGCAAATGTTTCCATTTGTAGCTATGCCTGCCTTGGATGTATTTAATGGATATTTACAACTCACCTAAATTTCCTAAGAATTGTATGTTTTTGACCATGAATTGAGTAGTCATTCTATATAGTTACTTCACAGAACTGCCTAGTGAACTGTGCATGTTGATGTGCTTTCACTTTTAATGTACGAATTACTTGTCTTGTTCATGTCAATACAGCCTCAGCATCCCCGTGGGGGAACACCAACGTTCCCAGATTCACAGATATTTTTCCCAACCGTTCATGAACGGCCGGTGTCTTTCTCACCACCACCTGTCTGCCCGCCGAAGGTGGCAGTTGCTCAGCGGCGCAAGAGCACTTCATTTTTGGAAGCCCAAACTTGCCACTTCCAGCCATTGCTGAAGACTGGCCAGAGTTTAGTTCCACCTGGTGGTAGCCCCACCAACTGGACACCAGAGGCATTCGTTATGCTGGGCACAGCAGCTCAGAGAGTCGCTGGAGAGCCTCTGCATGTGCAAGTTAATCCTGTGTTTGAGCCAGCTCCTGTACACAGTGACTATAGATCTGGACCAACACCTCCAGAGGATGCTCACTACAGAATGCATCCAGAAGCTGTATATTTGGTGGGCATGCACTATCCATCACAGGTATCGGAGCAGTATGATCAAATAGCTTATAATTCTCATGCGACCGAACAACATTTGAAGCAGGTCTCTGAGTCAAACCATGGGCAAGGTGGTCCTCCACAAAGCTCTGTGTTCGACTTTCAATCGGGGCAAACATACCTGGCAAGACATGTTCAGAACCTGAGGCTGGATTCTGGGATGGGTCCCCTTTCTCCATTATCCAGTGTTTCAGCTCCTCTGAGTGCAGATCCTGCTCAGATGACGTTCCACCAGGTATTTGTTCCACACTCTGCCCCGGCTGTGCTCTCTCACAGTGGTGATGGCAGAGCGAGCTGTGTCTTTGAGTTCCATGTGCACACACCGACTTCTGCTCCAGCAGAAGGGGCAGTTTTACCCCAGTGGGTCTACAGAAGTCGCCGGGGCTCTATGGAGACCAGTCAAGAGGAGTCCACTCAAGGCATAGGGTCGCATGGTCGGCTTCAGCCTGTGACAGAGGAGCAGTGTAACTATCTTGGTCCTGAGTTAGCAGGTCCCAGAGGGGGCTCTGCCAGGCGGAGCTGGCCGGAAGGAAGCCCGGAATACTCCAGTGATTCCTCACAGCTGACTTCCTCTGACACTGGCGATTTCCAGTCTCCTCCCCCTACAGGGGTGTCATCTTCTGCTTTTGGTTCAGACTTCTCATTGCCCATTGTTCAGCTGCCTCAGAAGGTGTTGCAAGAGTCGCAGCTCTTCATCTGCTTCCCCCAGGGAGCGTCAACTCAGCAGGCCATGTCCACCTCGCTTTCATCAGGACCACCTGCACTCTATCCTCAGGTTACAGGAGCAAACCCTTCCAGAATGTTTTCTAGTTTTTATAAGTCATGCCTTGCACTTAAAGGGGAGCCTTGCTCTTAGACTTGCTCCATGGGGTTCTAAGTATTAGCATTCATGGGGGTGTCTTTCCACCAAGTCAGTAGTGTACTAGGATCTGTTTAACTTACCTGGTTGTGGTGAAATAATGAGGCATCAGCAACCACTTGGTCTGTGTTCAGCTTCGGCTGAAATACTGGTAGACCTTTGGTGTTAAGAGTAACAAATGGTCAGTGTTTCTCCTGGGACTAGTTGTTCTTTTGGCAAGAGATAGCTGGAGTACCAAGTTGGCTTTTAAACAACGGGTTTAATGAAATGTATCTTCTCCACAGTTTGAATCAGCAGTGATAGTAAAACTTGCTTTGTATTTTTGTTCCTGCTCCTTAGCCATTTAATGAGAATGTGCTCTTTGAAGTTGAACTTTTGTCTGAATAATGTTTCATTAAGACAACAACAAGGTTAGTTTGGTGACTGTCCAAAATGCAAGAACTTTTTCTAGGCTTGGGGGAAGAAAGTGGGAAGAGAGGAATGGAAGGAGCTGTATAATATATATGTGTACATGGATTTGGAAATGTGTTTGCAGAGTTGTTAAAGAAACTAAACAAGCTGAATAGTAAATTAGTGGCACAAACAACTGTTGCTAATAGGTATTGCTTCCTTGTAAGCCTAGAATATGGTGTCCTTTTAAAAAGCAAAATTTGAGGCCTGAAGCTTAGTTTTGGAGGTATATGTTTTATCAGCATATATGGTGTTTGCACTTGCAGTCGTTAGTAATGCATTTGTACGCTGTGACTGTGAGGTGTATGTCTATATACATTGTGTCTGCAGTTGTAGTCTCAAACTTTTCATGAGATAATTTTTTGTGAAAAGAGTATTTACTCTCTTACTTCTCTCTTACTCCTTCTGTTCTTGGAATTGGGGGCTCTGACATTTTAGTTATTGGAGTATTAGCAACTTTGGGATTTGTGTGAAGGAACTGGAGGAAAATCTTTTTGCTTTTTGTGCTAAGATCAAGAACGAAGTATTTAAACCTTTCTGTATAGGATAAAGGTGTTAAAGCTGAAACAGCTTTAATCACTAGTCTAATAGATAGTAATTTCTGTGCCATAGGAGAACTTGTGGAGTGAAGCTGCTATGCAGGAAGTTTGAAACCTACTTGTGGATTGTTTCTCCATAAACCACCTTTGTTAAACTTCAGGAGGTGACTTCTGATGGATGTAAAATCTGGAAAACACAATAAGGGATCACAATTATTTTACAGAATATAAGTTCGGGGATCTTTTTATCTAATCCATAAGGATCTTTTTATCTAATCCATAAAAAGATCATAATTTGAAGCACAGACTTGAGTCAAAGTGAACAGATGTTACAGCAGTGGGACATAGCTCACATTTAGATCCTAGCCAGTAAGGGCCTCAAGGTTCTGAAACAGCAAAGAAAAAAATGGTTCTTTTCATTGGCAAATTTGACTTCCCAAAAGCTTCCATAACTAAAAAAGTGTGTAATTTCAATAATCTTGTTCCTGATAAGCTTCTACAAGCTGAATGATCACAGCATTAAGGCATTTCAGTAGATATTTCTAATATAATACATATGTACCAGATATATTTCTTACAAAGGCAGTTCACCAAAGTGGTGCATGCTCAGGGAACTCATCTGGAGGTCTTTGTCTCAATGTCTCCCAGGATCTGACAAAGAAATGTAATGGTCACAAAAATAATAATGAAAACCCTGGGATCTGATAAAAAATGTCAGTCACAAAAATAATAATGAAAATCCATTCCATTTTCCTCTACATCTTCCACATTTATTTGTATGCCACTCATCCATTTTTTTCATTGCTTATTCATTCATAGCTAGAATGTGGACCCCCGGATTCTTCAATATCCAATTCTTGGTAGCCTTTGAATGGTAGTGAGTCTGGAAATTATTTCTAGCTTGTATTTTGACATGCCTCTCAAAGGGAACTCATGACATGTATGTGTACTGAGTACTTTGCTATTGGTCTAGAATTCTGTATATCTTTGATCTTTTTTTTTTTTTAACAGGATAGTTTTATTTCCTTCTAGCCTCCTTCTATCTCCCCACCTAACTGTGTTTAGAACACATGTAAAGGTAAAACTTAATGCCTGTATTTCCAGTTATCATACCAAGGCATCCTGCTCTTAAAGCATCATCAATGGAAGAAGAAGCTGGTAGGCTCAACTGACCTATGTTGAGGGGTGTGTGGGTTGCAAAGACTTTATGTATTCGTTGTTTTGGAAGACTTAAAACAGAGTTCAGTACTTTTCCAGATTGTCCTGCTTTTGTTCTGGTTGTCGTAGTGGAATTTGGCCAAAAGGACTGGTTGTCCGAAATGACAGCTAGAAACCTATTCCAACCAGATGATTCCAGGCAGAAATGTTTTTAACTGCCTGCTGCAGAAACCATAGGGGTTTTCAAGCTAAAAATCTTTGTCTCTTTTTTTTCCTCCTCCAGACACAGGTGCAGGGCCAGCCAGCCTCAAGCAGTGCATCAGTGCCATCCCAGCCTACACAACATACTCAGCAGGTAAGAACTCAGTCCCAAAACCCAGGACTAAAATACTTTTAGTATAGGATTTTGAAGACTCTTTAAGAGCAACTGACTACCTCTACCTCTCTCTTCAACCCACAGTTCTGGACAAAATCAAAGGAATCCTCTGATTCTCACCCAGTCTAACACGCTATATGATTAACTTCATTGACTTTCTGAAATGTATTTTTAGAATCATGTTAATGCTTGTTATCATGTGTCTGTCTTCCCCAACTTCCATCTGAGCTTGCAGTGGAGATCCCATTCAAGGGGAGGCGTGTCAGGATTTGCAAGTTAGAGTGTTTAGACAGGCAGACTTCATTCTCATGATTTCTTCTAACTGGAAATGCTATCTTCTGCAACATGATCTTCTCCTAACTACCTTTTCTTCCTTTATAGAATCTTCATTCTTATTTTCACAGGTGAAATAATTCTGTTGCAAGATTTGGTGCTGGTAATGGAGTTGTATTAGTAATGCTAATAAGTAATTGCTAAAGCCTAATTGACTCAGCAGATGCAGAAGAACCACTGATGTCACTTATGAGGAAGTAAAAAGTAGAATTGAAATAGGATATGCTTTAAAAACTTCTGTGGAGGCTAAAAATTAACTTCTGTTTCTTTTCCCTTCTACAGAATGCACAGCAGCCAGCCTCTTCCCAACAGCCTGGACAGTACCAGCTGCCGCAGCCATCAGTTTCTACTGGTGTCACTCCCACACAAACTGTCTCTCAAACTCAAACATCACAGATGATGCCATTGCCTCAGGCAGCAGCTGGGACACAGGTAAACAAAATTTTTCTTTCTAGCAGAATATTTTACTTTTTCTTCTTCACAGCTGGCAAATTCAACATGCTGCTACTTTTACTTTTGTAATCTTTTCTAATGGTTCCAAAACATTCATCCAGATAATAGTATTCTTAGTGTACTACAACTGTCAATTTTGTTGGAAAGTGTGTTGGAAACCCTTTCTTTCACAAGTGGCAGTCATGAGTAATTTGAGGGAGGGATAGCATTTCCATGCACAAAGATCTTTAAATTGTCAAAAATATCATGAGGCATATTGGTGAATGGGATATTATGAATGGATTTTCAGGAATTTGTCATTTCTCTGCTTCCCATCAATGTCTATCTTTTGCACCATTATGTGTGTAAAACATGTTCACTTATTTAGGTAGTGAACCATAAGGACTGCCTTCTCCACTCTGTCATCTTTCTTATTCAGCTCTTCTCCTTTACTCCCTGGTCAAGAAGCTGCTGTAACTGAGTATTACTTCATTTTGGCTCATATCTCTATCTTGAACATGTGAGCCTTGATTTTGTTTTTAAAATTGTTGTTTTGTTGCTTGTTCATCTAAACTGCCTTTCCAGTTGCATCGTTCGCTGGCTTTGATTGACATATCCCCTGCCATTCTCTGAATGCTGGCACAGTGGCTTTTTGTTCTCCATTGCTTTAGTCCCCATACCCAAAGCTGACAGATTTGTTGAAAGATTTGCACTTCTTTCCTGTAAGAAGGCAGGCTTGGCTCTGGGGACAAAGTTGAGGGGAATTTGATTCTGTTTATGCACAAGTCAGTGCTTCAGGGCATTTGGACATTGCTCTTTCACCCTCCATGGGTGCCTGTTTGAAGAGCTTGTTGAGTTTTTCAGGGGAAGTGTTGTGAAGGGAGGACCTTTTGGAACTCCAGCCAACTTCCCAGCTACTCTGCCAACTGTGCTCCCCACCCACTTTAACAGAGTGCTGTAACTTGAATAATTCTTTCTTTGACTAATGCATAGAAATTCTGCTTTCTGCAACCCTGCTTTAAAAAAAAAAAAATCTATCTCTATTTTCTTTACCTCCCCAGCTTCCTGTTTCCCAACCAGTGTCGATCATCCAAGGCGAGCCTCAATTACCTGTTGCAGCACCTTCTCTCCCTCAGCCTTCAGTTGCCCCATCAGTCCCTATTGGCTCTCATTTTTTACCCATGGGACAGCCCTTGCCAACTTCCATGGTTACCCAGTTCTCAGTCTCTCAGTTGCCTGTAGCAGCTCCTCATGTGTCGATGGCTCAGCCAGGTTTCCAGTCACTGCCCATTTCGATGGCAGCTGGCATGAATCAGCCATTGCTCACACTGGCAACGTCTGCTGCAGCAACCACTGTCCCTGTAGCATCAACAGTTGTCCCTAGTCAGCTTCCCACACTGATGCAGCCTGTGGCTCAGTTGCCCAGCCAGGTTCTCCCGCAGCTCCTGCAGCCGGCTGTCCAGTCCGTGGGATTGCCAGTCAGCATTGGACAAGCTGCTGAAGCTTCACTTCCTGCTGGAGATGCTCTTTACCAGGTATTGTTGCAAGCCAGCAGAGGTCTTCTCCACATTTTTACTTGTTCCTCTAAGGTACCAGATCTGACCTATGTGCCCTGGCCAACTCACTTCTCACAGGAGAACCATTATGCCACGAAGATGAATTCTGTTGTGTGGTAAAGGACCATTTTAAGAAGGGAGTGGGGGCGGGAAGTCCTTGGACACCCTGGTGTTTTGAGGTTTTCATATTTGGCAATGGAATTTGTCTAAAACGACAGAATCTTAGTGCAGGACTTTGGTCAACCACTGTGTGAAAGAGGACAACTATATATCCAAGAGATTTGTCAACTTGGAAGAAAAAAAAAAAAAAATTGTGATTTTAAAAATGGGAGATGTGTATTGGAAAGCAAATCAATGGCAGCATATTCAGTAATGTCAACATTTCATTCCAAGTCTGGGAAGGGGAAGGGAGGTGGGGAGAGGGCCACAGCCTTCCTAGAAGTAAATCAGATGTCCTGGATCTTGAACATGATGTAAGTACCTGATGCTAGTCATGAAATGCTAGACTGTTGGGCACAGACTGCTTCAGCTACTTTGTGCAATCACTGTAAAAATGTCAGTCTAAATAGTGACAAAAATAGTGACTCAGCATATAATTGTTCTAGAACAAAAATTGTATAGATGTAGAAATATCTGCACTTGGATTATGAAGAGTGCTATAGAACAGAAACAGTGTATAAAAATGTTCCTTGGTTCCTGGGTCAGGTCATCATGAGAGGATGGGAAGAACACAAGAGCATTTTTGTTGTTAGTCTCAAGAATCAGCAGCACTTGCATAACGTGTTCTGAGCAGTAGTTGTTCAGCCTGAAAATTCTTCAAACTCATTTCAAGTCTCAGGCCTTAAAATATTAAGCCAAATAGGCAACCCCAAGAGTTGAGAGGTGAAGATTGTTCTTCCTAAGACTTGAAACTTTGAGTGGGAATTTGCTTGTTCAAGCATGGTGACTTGAAAGCTGAGATTTGGCTACGTGCACAGGTTGCTCTGCTTCTCTGGGAGGATAGTCTTTGGGAGTGCTTGAACAAGTATGGAAGGTTGGAACATGCACCTGAAACTGATATGTTTTTTTTTTTTTACTCTCGTTTCCTAATGAGCTTTGACATCCGCTAACTTGACTCCCTCGTTTCTGTTACAGGGCTTCCAATCTCGGCTGCCGCCTCAATACCCAGTCGACTCGAATGTTGCACCTTCCTCTGCTGTGGCCTCTGTTAGCATTCCTTCTGCCGTACTGTCCCCTCCCTTACCCACAGATGCAATAGCTCAGCCAGGCTATCTTGCTCCTGTTGTGCAGTCATACGTGGAGCAGAATGTTTTAGTTCCGATGGGCAGCCTAGGAGGACAGGTTCAAGTGCCCCAGCCTACAGTGAGTTTAGCCTCATCGGCCTCCTCGCAGCAGGCTGTTTTGGAGGTAAATATGTTCAATATAATGTAACAATATGCTTAGGGCGTTTGAATTATGCAACAGTGTATGTGTGTGGGAAACTAATCCCCTCCATGCTTGTTTTCAGTTGGAAATTAATATTTCAAATCACCTTTTTCTTACAGCAGAATGTCATGCCAATGTGGGGACCTTGTTGCCACTGGCTGTTCTGTTGGGAAGTGAGTGTGCATCCTGCAGGGAAAAACCTGTTAACACTTCACTTCTTGCTAGTACTGTAGAACATTTTTGCCGTATCAAAGACAAACTGCAACCGAGAGCCTTTGAGAATCTGTCGTTATGCCTATGCCCTGCAGTGCTGTTCTTGCTAGGGAGACTTTGAAATGTCTTTGTGTTCTGCATTGGCTTGCCTTTTGCACATTCTGTTAGTAAGATTGTGGCTGCATGGCAAACTGTAGTGACACGTAGCAGTGAAAGGATGGCTGATTTCCTCTCCCTACTCCTCCCCAGATGATGATTTGCTTCACTGTAGTTTGCTCTAGAATCTTTTGTAAATTAGAGCTGTCAAGATGCCAGCTGTTTGAAGTTCTGAAAAGGTAGTGCTTTTAGCTTTACAACTGATTTGGGAGGAAACGTTGAAGACTACTGGGTTGCTTTAAAAGGAACGGTACTCTGTGGGGGGTTTCTTGATGTAGGTTTCTATCCATAGGGTACTCAGGGAGTCTCACAGACTGCTCCTTCAGAGACTCTTCCAGCAACACAGCCTGCTCAGTCTACCCCTTTGGCTTCCTCTATGGATAGGTGAGCATTGTTTTCTTTTCACCAAACTGAATTTCAATTTCATGTGTTAAATCATTCTTCCTTGGGTGATCTTTAGGTATCTTTTTGCACTAGGGTTATTTTCTTCACTGAGAGCATTCTTGAGGATGTGAGGAAATAAGCTTCCTAGAGGGGAAAATAGGCTTATGAGAGCTGGAGTAAGTTTTGATTTACAGCAGGGCATGGAGGGAGTAAATAGGATTGTGTATACTGATTTAACTTCTAATCCTTTTTTATTTGTCATGTCAAAGGGATGCTTTTCTGTCCTTCTGGCACTGAAACAGAATTCAAACTCCAAATAGCTTGAAGACATATTCAGAAGAGACAGTCATACAACTCAGCTTGCAAGAGATATGTAGCTAAATAATTACTGTTAGAATTACTACTTAAGCAACCCGAAGTGTTGACAGGACTCTTCTCCCCTACTCTGTAATTAACAGACATCTACATCTACCCAGAAGAGAATACCATCTGGTAGGGTAAACTGTATTCTTGCAGTTATGGAGTGCATGGATACTAATGTAAAGTTGCCTTTTTTTTTTAGTGCTCATTCTGATGTTGCTTCAGGATTGAGTGATGGCAATGAGAATGTTCCAGCTTCTAGCGGAAGGCATGAAGGAAGGACTACTAAACGTCATATGCGGAGGTCTGTCCGCAGTCGCTCTCGCCATGAAAAGACTGCAAGACCGAAACTGAGAATTCTAAATGTGAGTATCTTTTTATTATACTGACAGTTTGGTAGTGATGATGCCTTTTTTAGGATTCAAGAAGTTTCTTTTCCTTTGACGAATGTGTGTCTTCTGCAGTCTTGTTCTGCACCTCCCCCCTACTCCAAGCTCACAAATTATCCAGTGTATTTCTTCTGCTTCTGGAGTCAGTGTTCCAAATGTCATCTCTAAAAAAATCTAAGCTTTTTGGAGCATTAGATATGGCAAAATTGGCTTGCGTAGCCACCAGTGATTATTGCAGCATATTTGATGCATCATCAGAAAAAAAATGATGCTGTACCTGGCACCATTTATAAGACTTGAAAGAGAGGGTGTGTTTGTATTAGACCAGTACCATTGGTTTGTCTCTGGGCTTTAAAGCACAAGCCTTAGATTCTCATGCTTTTGGTTCAAACTGTTGTTTTTTTTGCTTTAGGTTTCTAATAAAGGTGATCGGGTAGTGGAATGCCAGCTAGAGACACACAATCGGAAAATGGTTACTTTCAAATTTGATTTGGATGGTGACAACCCTGAGGAAATAGCTTCAATTATGGTAAGATATATTTTAGAGACGAAGAATTGAATCCAGTTTTAATCACAGTAATATAAGCAGTTTTATTTTTTCATTTCTGTTTCAGAATTGCTTTTCCATGTAGCATGACCTGTGCTCACCTTATTGGCACGCAAGCACAAGTAGAAACTCTGGGCACAGGGTATACAAAATTGACAGTTAATATTCCATGCTCAGTTCACATGAAAATTTGCGTCAGTTTTTACTTTAGAACACTGGTTTTATCAAGTAAATCTGCTTTTCTTTTTTTGCAATCTAATTTTTTTAAGAACTGCAAACAACTTTCTGAAAATGCCAGGTTAAACAAATTCTGTTTACTTTTGTAGGAGCCAACATTGCTAGATCTTTAAAACTGATGCTTAAGCTTTAAATTTTTGGTGCTGTTCTCAACTGAAATGGCAAGATTCTGCCCTTAAAGTAAGGAGTGGGAATCACTTTTTGGTTTCTGAAAGTCAGTAGCGACTGATGCTGCTTTTGACTTCCTCAAAGGAAAAAACCTCTACATTCAACGTATAATGGTCAAGCACAGAAGAGAACTTGCCCTGTAGAGATATGCTTAAATGAGTACTGTGTAGCATGGAATAGAATCTACACCTACGTCTTTTTTTTTTTTTTTAATTTAGACTCTTTTTCTTGGACTGGTACATTCTGAATGAAACTGGGATTGTTTTAGTGTTACTGAAGCTAAGGGGGAATGACGAAAAGCACTGTCTTTTGGCAGCTTCTTGGGCACCTGTGCAGTGTTCATCTTTTAGCTTGGAGAGGTGGCAGAATAATAGGTGGTGTGTGCTGGATTTGTGCCTGTCAAAGGGAACCAAATCAGTGACACAAGAGAAATGATCTCTTCACCACTAATGGCTTTCTGAGAAAGAGGAATAAGTTGGTTCTCAGCTACGTACATGTACTGGCAGTGTAAACAAGTCAATAACATGAAGTCAAGTGCCAAGAAATATGGAAAGAATACATAGATGTCTTCACCTCATACCTAAAGTGATCCTATGGAGGAATAAAAGAGTATGGTTGATTAAAAAAAAAATGTAAAAAATGACCAAACACACACAAAAACCACCCCCTCCTCCCCCCAAACAACAAAAAACGCAAATATCTGAAGATGGGTAGAAGGAAAATAAGTGAACTGTGCATCCAAAACGCCATCACATAGTTGAAAGTGTGCACCCTAATTTAGACATCTGAATCTGGAACTTTGTGCTCATTGGCTTCTTGTTGAATATTAAAGAAACTTTTGATTGTAAGACTTTTTCATTTCCTTCTAATCAGCACACCATCAGGCATAACCCATATGGGTATCTGTCGTTGCTCAACCAATGATAAATAAATAAAGATGGTGTCACCATCTTTATCTTGTGCATAAGAACAGTGAAGGGAGGACAAACAGTAACACCAAAAGTAAATTATGGTTCTTCGATACATAGTTTTTAAATAATTTGTGGAAAATTATGGTTGCTTTGTTCTCTTTACAGGTGCAGAATGAGTTTATTTTAGCCACCGAGAGAGACTCGTTTGTAGAACAGGTACGAGAGATTATTGAGAAAGCAGATGAAATGCTAAGTGAGGATGTAAGTGTGGAGCCAGAAGGCGATCAAGGTTTGGAGAGTATGCGGACAAAAGATGATGGCTTCTTTCCAGGGTCACAGGTATGTAAAGGACATATTGCCTTAGCTAATGATATTTTCCATTTTGGGTGGAATGTTTTTTGTGAGTAGAGCTAGCTAGAAATGAAACCTCCTTTCATGAGAAATATCAAAGCCTAAAAATTAAAAGACAGAGAAAGCCTCATGTCAGTGTGAGAGCCTAAAATTCGTTTAGAAAGCTAAATAACGTAGACATTTTGCTTTTTGACATGTTCTAACACCTCTGAAGCTGCTGAATCTCCTAACAACCCACTAAACAGACAATCTTAAATGCTGGGGCTTCTGGGATTTGAGGTTTTTGTGAGGCAGGACACTAAAATCCCCAGTCCTGTGCTGCTCACTAAACACTGAGTGCCTGGACGCGGGCTGTCTACCTAGTGAGCTACTAAGATTGGATGGCTCAGTTAGAAAACACAGGTTTTTAAACTGGTTGCTGGGATTAAGAAGGGATGATATTTCCTGAATGGCTTCCTTAGACTAAATGTAAGGAAGATTTTTCACGATGAGGGTGGTGAAACAATGGAACAGGCTGGACAAAGGGTAATTTTTTAAACTAAAAGAGGGTAGATTTAGATTAGATATAAGGAAGAAATTTTTTATTACGAGGGTGGTGTAACACTGGAAGACGTTGCCCAGAGAGGTGGTAGATGCCCCGTCCCTGGCAACATTCAAGGTCAGGTTGGACGGGGCTCTGAGCAACCTGATCTAGTTGAAGATGTCCTTGCTCATTGCAGCGGGGTTGGACTAAATGGCCTCAAAAGGTCCCTTCCAACCCAAACCATTCTATGGTTCTATGAATCTCTGCCTTATTTCCACCCAGAACAGTCTGAAACATCCATTTATCTGTGGGATGTTTAAGGAAATCAGTTGGACTGCCTGTTAACTAAAGAGTGTTTAGGTCAATGTGTTATTTTGACCTTCACTAAGCTGAGAAGCTCTAAAAGCATGGTAGCTGACATTTATCTGGGCAGAATTCCACTAGTTTGGTAATGGTGCTTGGGTCCAAGGTACTGCTTACCTTAAATGCCCACATTTCAGTAAGCTAGCATTTTAAGAACTATCTTGTGGGTTTCTGTTTCAGAATAGAACTTTAAATTTTATCTTACTTTACAGAAATTAGAGTTCAAACAGCCAGATCCTACATCTTCCATGCCACAAAGAATAGGTAAGTCTTTTGTGATTTTTTTTTTTTCAACAGTTACCTTTTTCTGTTTCAGCGGATGGGTGCAGCCAAGGTTTTATTTTATATGATGGAGTGCACATTCCATATTGCAGGTTATGTATTTAGTTACAACCATGTATCACTAAATATCTAACTTCTTTCTGTTTAGGGGTTCCTCCTAGCTCCTTTACCCAGGTTGTCCATTCTGCAGGAAGGCGGTTTATTGTCAGCCCTGTCCCTGAGAGTCGGTTAAAAGAACAGGGCTTTTTCACATCTGCTGTTCCCGGAGGAAAAGAAACTCCAGATATGGGTAAGCTATCTAAACTCTTAAAATTGGATGGCTAAGACCTATTCATCAAAACTGTGAAGTTGGTTAACTAAACTGTTCCTAAACACCTCTTAAAGTACTTGGGGAAGTAAGGAACTGTCTGTGCTGGTAAGAAGTGATTATAATGTGGGTGATACTATGCAGAATTCTCATGGGAAAAAATGTTAATGGTCTGTCTGCAAGACTCTGGAACGTTAATTTTGTATTTTAGTGTAAGCCTGGATTTTTAACTTTTTTTATTATGCTGAGAGGTAAATGTGATCTTATTCTAGCAATCGACATTAATACTGTAATGAACTTTTCCACGTGGGCTTACATTTTTCTGTTCTTCCAGTTGCTGCATCTCCACTACATGGTCCTGGAATGAATCTCTCCCACTCAGCATCATCACTGAGCTTGCAGCAAGCTTTCTCTGAGATGGGACATGCTCAAATGACAGAAGGACCTAGTACAGCTCCTCCAGTGTTCAATCAAACAATACCACCATTTCCACCTGCACTTTCTACCATGGCAGGCAGTGGTGCACCTACTGCATCTGTGGCTGCTTCTTCAATATCTGTTCCCTCCAGCACAGGTGTTTCTCTTCCAGGATCTGTTACTTTGCCTTCAGAAAGTGCAGCTGTTGGAGTTGCACCAAGTGCAAGTGTGCCAAGCTCTATTTCTCCACCTCCAGCCTCACAGTCTGGACAGCAATCGACTGGTGTCCCTTCCAGTGTGAGTGCCCCTGCTTCTTTCTCCTTACCTACCACATCCCAGCCTGCTCAACCAGTAACTGGAGACATTGCCCCCAGTATCAGCACACCGTCGTCTTTGGCACTGTCATCTAGCCAGGTTCCTGGTGTCACTGGTCTTGGTGGTGTTGCACCAGCTGTGACATCTCAGTCTACTCCTCAGATTGTAAGTAGTATGGCAGCACCACAGACATCTGTTGCTCTGTCTGTGGCTCAGAATGTGGCTTTGCAGCTTCCTCAGCTCAGTAGCAGTGGCTCTGTCTCCAATCTGGCAGAAACAACAGTTGTAAGTGCTCCACAGTCACTATCTGAGAGCGGGCAGTCTATGGATAAATCACAGCTCTGCAGTGCAGCTGGCTTATCTCTTCCAATCTCTGCACCTTTATCATCCTCAGGAGCAACAAGCATATGTGGTTCAGTCACTCAGCCAGCGATACATCCCTTACTTGTCCCATCAGCAATTACATCAACACCTGTCCTACCCCAGATTCCAGGTGCAACACCCGTGTTGCCCCAGGTTCCCTTACCTGGTGTCTTACCACAACCAGTCACTAACTTGCCTGCAGTACAGCAAACTTTAATACACAGCCAGCCTCAACCAGCTCCATTACCCAATCAGCCTCATATTCACTGTCTGGAGGCTGATGCTGATGCTCAGTCTAAAGCTCCTGGTATTGATGATATAAAGACCCTGGAAGAAAAGCTGCGGTCTCTCTTCAGTGAACATGGTAATGTGGGAACAGCACATCCATCAGTATCTCTGGAGACATCATTGGTAATGGAAACTACAGTTATTCCTGGGATACCGACCACTGTTGTTGCACCAACTAAACCCCTGACATCCATTAGCACTTGTATACCTCCGAGCAGTTTGCCTCTTGGACCAACTGGCTTGCCAGTGCTGACACCAGTTGCCACTCCCGGGCAAGCGATGACCCCAGTCAGCTATATTTCGGCATCGAGCAGCATTGCGACAGCAGTGGTGAAACCAGGGACCTCTCCTTCAAAGCCCCCTCTTAGCAGGGTACCGGTAAGAAATGCAACATTTGTGTGAATATTCAAATATTGTAGGAAACAGCCTTCTTGAGCAGGATCCCTTTTATAAAGCAACTTATTTATTCAGACAGAGGTGTCTTCGTTTAATATAATATTGAAAGTTTTATGCTCTGGTTGTTTTTGTGTCTCAAGAGGTATTTTACTTTGTCCATATTGGAAAAAAAACACAATTCTATATTGTGCCTCAGAGAACGCTCTAATGTTGCTGTTAGTTTTTCCTACTCCTAAACTCCAAAAGAGTTAAGTAACTGTGGTTTGGGTTTTTGTGGGTTTTTTTGTTGTTGTTTTTTCCAATAGAATTTGGAAGGCTTGCTTTAAGTAGCTTTTTTGTCTTGTACATGATCACTAGAATGAGATGGGGTGGCTGTGCATTTCACAAAGCATAATCAGGATAGCTTAGCTTTGTTTCTTATCATTAGTCTGTTCCTTGAAGGCAAGGATGAACCAGACTGAAAGTTTTTTAAAAGTCCTCTGCTGCTTATGTGGTGCCTGGATATTATTTTCCTTCTCAATGTTAGATTTGTGAAAGCAGAATTTTGAGAAGTTTAAAAGATATCTTGGTATCTGAAAACCAACTTTGTGTACTCAGTTGTGCTCTTCAAACAAATACTCTTTCATAAAGTGATAGTCGTGATGTATAGTAACAACCTGAGACGTGTTGTAGATGTTGTTACCTGCTGACTAATCAGAAGTATTGGTATGTGAAATTAGACTACCTATTTTCTTTTAAATGGTGCCCTGTGTTTGGAGACAATGTATTACATTTTAAACTATTGGTAGCCTTTTCCTTTTAAGAGTTAAATGGAAATAGGTTGAAGATTCAAACAACCAACAACCATAATACTCATTTTTGGTTTTGTAACAGTTCTTTTCCACTCACCAACACTTTGTGTTGGTCTTATTTAGCCAGCCTTGCTATTAACCAGTTTCAGGCCATTTGAATTGAGCTAATGCTCCTAGCATCTCCATTCATCAGTAGTCTTTCCCTTGTACTCTCTGTATTCAAGCTAGAAAGCTTCCACCATGGAGGAGCGGGAATATGTGCCAAGGAAGTTGGGAAGGAAATCTAGACACAGGCATGCATTTATGTAGAAATGAAGTTGAGAATTAGGAAAGAAAGATTAGAAAGTAATAAAAACTGGTGTTGGTTCAGGAACAGTTGGAGCAGTTAGAAACCTGCTACCTGCAAACCTGTAATTACAAAGGCTTGGGTTTAAAAGTAATAAATGTTTGGGGTTTTTGATGTCCGTTATGGGAATACTACCTCCTCTCTGAAGTTTTCATTTATAAATTTGTGTTTTTCCAAAGTTTAATTTTAGTTTCACTTTTTGTGGTGTTTTTGAGTGTTAAGGAGCTTATTGCTTTAGTTCCCTGGGGTTTACTAAACCATGTATATGTGTATTTTATTTTGTTTATGGCCAGCCTGTTAACCCAGACAGTTAAATGTGTTTTGACTTGTCTTACAAATTTATTTAAAGTGTGTTTTGAGTCTTATTTATAAATTGATTAACTTACCACAGCTTAACAATTCAATATGCCTTAGAACAGGTAATGTCCACCTGTATGTTCCTAGTGCACAAAATGCTGAAGTAATGCAACTTTGCATAGTTCTTGCTGAAACATTTTTGGGAGGATAGATAATTATGGGATGTATCTCCACCAGGCAGTTATTACTGCAATTTGAACCCTTAGTTTAACTGTGGTAACATGACTGCAAGCTAGAACTGGTTCTGCTTGTTGAGGACCAGAGTACATAGTAGACTTTGGGCCAGTTACACATATCCAGCAGTGCTCGCTGTCGTACAAGGGAAGGCAGCTGATCAACACTATAACTCATAAGGCTATCATGTATGTCGCAAACTTCAAAGGCACGTTCAAGCCTCAAGATTACAGCTGAGAATAAGAATTGCAAGTTGTGTATAAGAATTGCAAATTGTGTAATGGATCACTTAATTCCTAGAACTTCCCACTTCCCTAACAACGGAAATAACTAACTGGAATGTGCTATCTGACCTGGTGGGAAGGCTTTGATGCCTCCTTCTAACCTTTCCAGTCTCTCTAACCTCTTCCACATAACCTGGATGACTTCCCCCTACCCAATTGCATGGCCTAGTCATCTTCTGTGGGTCATCAACACCCTTCAGGTTCAAAAGAAGTGACGGATCAAGAGATTGGTGTGGGAGTTCTATAAATCTGCTTCTCAACAAGTGGAGACGTCCTTAGGCATGACAGTTGCTGTTCTCAAGTCCTGTTGCTTGGAACAATGTGCTGGAAGCGCGTAGCTTGCTGTTGCTAATGGGCAGTTACCATAGATCTGTTGCAAGAAGATTGAGTGCATTCTTGCACCCTTTTATAAATTAAGCTTCTTAGAAACTTAATTGCTTTTTGGAAGAATTATTGTAGCATTTCTTGCAGACTTGAAAATAATATCCCCAAGATACTTTGCTTCTGGACACAGCAGCTTGTTTAAACTGGAGATTGTGGCCAGTCAAAGATAATCTGGATTAAAAAATAAAACAAAAGCAAACAACTTGCCCCAACTTCATTGCAAAAATGCCTAAAGACTGTATGCTGACTGTCCAGGAAGGAAGTCTCTACAGAAAAAAATGTTGAGGCTTCTGTTGTATGACATGACTGACTTAGCTTGGTATCTGATCCTTCTGTTGTTCCGTGTCTGATGGACTCGCGTTTCCTCTTCGTTATCCATAGGTGCTACCAGTAGGTTCTGAACTTCCGGCTGGCACTCCATCCAGTGAGCCGCTGCCACCTTTTCCAGGACCTTCACTAACTCAGGTGCTACACAACTTGACAGATTTTATCTGCTGCTGTTCCTTTCAAAGAGCATGTTTCAATTAAACTCTCCATTGCATGTTATTAATGTCTTTGTTTTTCTTTTCCTTTGACTGAGTAACCCCTTTTGTGTAACACTAGCAGTGGCCAGAGTCACTTCAGCACTGGATATGTAAGTGTGCCCTTCAGGATGCTGTACCCAGTGTCTGAAGCAGAAGGAACAATTAATCAGGCATGGGGTTTTTTAGTGTGTTAAAGCTGAACTTTAGAGGTTTTTTTTTAAAAAAAGTAACTCAGGTGAGTGTGTGCATAAAACTTGAACCTGTTTTCCTCTTAAAAGAGTATAGTAACAGTAGCTCTTTAGGTAAGCAGTATATGCTGCAATTAAACATTAATGAAAATGCAAAGTTGCTGGCTTTGCAAATTCCTGGTCTTTGTGTCCCCTGCAGTTATTACTATACCCTGATTTCACTAGGCTTTCAGATTTGCAAAAGGTCTTTTGAAGCTCCTGATCATAAACATGAGTTGAAATGTAACAGTAGCTTCTTTTGCTCAGATTCTGTCATTGTATGTGATAATTAACTTGGATATTTTGTATGTAAGTTGGACAGGTGTTCAGCTCAAGACCCCAAAGATTAAATCTGTCTTCAATTTTTGTTCAAAAAAGCGGCCCCTCCCACCCCATAATAGAAAGAACTGTATTAAGACAAAACTGTATTCTGGATCTTCTAAATGCTGTGTAATGAAATGTAACATGGGAACACTACACTTCACTATGCAAAGAAAAAAACTGAAAAAATAAGCGGACAAAACCCATGAGATCATGAGATAGTTGTGCCACTTTTGAAAGAAGTTTGTGGATAAACACAAATATGGCTTTCTATAGAATTCTATTAAAGTACACTTGGCACAGAATTATCACCCCAGTTTTATATTCAAACCTGTAAAGAAGATAATGGTTCAAGTGGGTACCTAGTGGTGCCTGCTTAAGACTTAGAGTAATTTTGTCTTAAATCTAATGTTTCCTGTGTACATATGCTTCTTATAGTATTAACCTCTTCCACCCGTGGCTTAAGTCCACAGTGAATAGTCTTAGAACACATGTCCAAAAGCTACACTTGAATTGGAGTCTGTCCTTTTATAGAAAGGAATTATTCACTTAAGTATTAACTATATTTTAAAAGTAATTCCAATGAAATAGCTACAGTATGAAAATTTGTAGAATACTTAGCATTATGGCCTGATTTCGTTTGTTTTCTTGACCACTGAGAATTTTAATACAGACTGAACTAACCTTGATAAAGTCTTCTCCAGAACAGTGGTAACATTCTCCCTCTCATCTCTTGCAATGGAGCTCTTGAATTCAAGTTTCACCTGTGTAAGGGAACTTAAAATAAACCTTAAAGGTCATTTTAGTTCTTTGCAAGCTGTTCTTTTTATGGGATTTACAATAGCATGATGAGAAAACTTTAGAAAGGATCTAAACTGACTGTCACACAAAGGAGTAGTGTTAGAAAATTGCGTATTTCAACTGTGCTAAGGCAACTTTGGTGAATGAGCTGTCACGGCTCATATTCTACAGCTAAAACTGTAAAGACTGAATTACATGTGTTAGGGTACTAATCTTCAAAGGTACCATTGGAATAGTATTTCCATTTTTGTCTTTCAAATGTGAGAACCATGGTGTTACCTGATTCTAAAGACATGAGTAGAATTGAGCAGCAGAGTATGTTAGTTGCTTTCCTGTACTTTTATGTTGATTATGACATTAATAATCCCTTTTTAAGTTTTCCAGCTTTCTTCCTCTGGTGCTGTCTATGCAGAAGCTCTGTCTTTATTCAGCAGTTTCTCTAGTTCTCTCAGTAAATGTCATTATTTTGTGATCTCTTAAGAATCTCTCAGACAAGTTTGCACGGAATATGTCCTGGAGGTTAGAATGGAGACAGTCTAGTGGACCTAAGTTACGATGTGCTCAAAATTGACATCTCATCCTGTCTGTTCCTGCTCTACCATCTTTTTGGTCTTCATCTGCTGGAGCAAATGCAAATCAGTGACCTTAATCAAGGAGTCCTTGCAGATGGCCTCTGTGTCCAGAACTACTTCTTGGTTGTCTCTTCTTTTTAATTAAAGCAGATTTAAATCTTTTGATTTAAACTTGAGAATCAGTCTACTACTTGGAAAGTATTATTCAGTGTGGAAAGGCAGATTTGTGCTCTTTATTGTAAGACAATTGTGAAAGTGAGTGTATTGCTGTTGAAACCTGTAATGGAAAGGAGTGCTGCTGTATTTGGTTTTATGCAGTTTCTTTCTAGGAGGCTGAATGAGGGCCATATTCCTGCCCTGTGAGTAATCAAGAAAGGGATATCTTCTGCCTCCAAACTGAGCAAGAAGCTGATTGACTTATGTAGAGGTATAAGAGGGTAGTGTTAGCAAGCAACGCTTCCCTCCCGTGCCCCGCCCCCCACCCCCCCTCAACTGGCTTCTGGAGGCAGAAGGTGGTTTATGCCTTTCAGCCAGTTCTTTTTGAAGGAAGGTTTTGTTGAAGAGGAGACAACAACAATTTGGTGATAATTCTTACCTGCGTTCTTACCATGAGCAAGAGCAGCAAGTAGATCTGGAGGCAGCTGGTTAAAATCAGTCACACTAAGTTTATTCCTTTCTATTGTCATTGCTTGGAACTGGGTACATCAGTAATATTTTTCGCTCAAACTTAAAGCACTCGTAGCCACTTATGTGACTCAAGCCACTGTACCATTGCAAAAGGCTTCTTGTTTGTCATAGGTATTTCTGTCAGGATTTGTGGTATGGAGAAGGCACAAATATAGATCCCTTGCTTCTTGTCTTTTGCAAACAGCTTACCTAATTTCACTTTTCATTTGAACCATAAGCCTGTCTAGGAGTGAGACAAAATTGAAGGAGACCAACTGGATCAAAACTAGTTGACAGTTAAGAGTATTTACTGCTTTCTGCAAAATTACTGGCTTGTCTTAAAGTAGATAGGCTTGCCTTCCTTACTGCTTCTGTCAGTAGCTCGCTGCACAACTTTTTTCCTCTCCTTAGTACCAGACTCCTAATTTGCAGACAAAGTATGTGTCATCTCAGGACCAGTTTTGGACAGTTCATTCCTTAGCCTTAAATACCTGTTCTCTTTATTCTTTAATTGCTTTTTGAAGTGTATTTAGATTAATTTTTCAAGCTTCATTTTGGTACCCTTGGTACCTTAATGGAAGGAAATCTTTATTCCCTGATCATTCTGATACTCAACTCTGTTCAGTCAAAGCAAATATCTTCTTGTGAGCGTAAGTGATGAGAATTATATTTCAGGTGAAATGTCCTCTTTATTTTACAGCATTATTGAATTAAATTAGCTCACTTGTCTGTTTAAGCATTTGGATTTCTAAATGGAGTCATAGATGCCTGTATCTTCTCCCTGTGCTCTTTGATTTTTATTTTTTTAAAAATTTGGTGGAATCGATATGGGGTTTATTGTTCTTGGGTTTTTTGGTTGTGTTTTGAAGTCCGCAGTTCAGGAAGAATGTGATCCTGGCAACCTGCTGAAAGCATCTTTATTCTATTGTGTATCTCTAACTTTTAGTTTCTTGGAAGTGAAAGGCAATGCTTTTATGTTGCCATGACCTCAGCTTCAGTTCTAAAAACAAATCTAGCTTTTTAATATAGAAGGTTTGAAAAGATTGATGATGCTAAAGTTTGGATGGTCAGAATTGCAGCTTAGTGACATCTGCAGATACTTCTTCCATATGTATCTTAGGGTTACGGCCCTAATGAATTTTGAATGAATCTGAACTTTTCTTTAAGATATTTTTAGGTAATTATTCTTTTCTTCCCTTCCCCAATTTAATTGGCCAAGTTTGAAAATCCTCTTGGATGCCAACTCAAACAGCTGAAATCTAAGTAGTAAGTCTACCTGAAAGAGACTCTGCCTCTCTCCCTTCCTCTTCTTCAAGATAGCTTCTTTGAGGGAACTTGTGTGTGGTGGTTATTTTTTGGATTTTTTGTTTTGTTTTAAATTTGTGTTACCCTCAATCTTGCTTTGTCCATGCTTGCTTTTGAAGTTATGGGCATATTTGGTCAGTTCTTAAGAGTGGGAATGCAAACTTCATGCTAACTTCATGAAAAAGGGAAGGTTCCAGTTAATGCTTCTCTTCTATTTTTTACCAAATGTGCTGCTTAAATTGTTTCCAGTCTTACTGTGATATATACAGGCTAAATGGAAACCTGTAGGAAGGGAACATGATAGAAATATGTAAGCTGTACTGACGGCTTTAAATTTTAGTATTAAATATGGCTGTTGTTTCTCAAATGTGATATATTTTTCCTGAGCTGGGACAGCTGTTTACTCTTTCCTTTCTCATCAGTCTCAGCAACCTCTGGAAGATCTGGATGCTAAGCTAAGAAGAACCCTTAGTCCAGAGACCGTTCCAGTGACATCTGCTCCTGCCTGTGTACGTTTGCAATGTTGGCAGTTAGTAGTCTTGAAAAACTTCAGTGTTTTTTCAAGGTCATGCTCTTAGGTCACTACCTTTAATATCACTACACCAGTCTTTAGACTTTTAAAAATAAAAATGAAGAGTCATCTTCCAGTTTGTGGGACTTAGTCAAGCAGAATAGGAAAAATCTGTATGTTGCAATAGAATACATATTTCCTGAGGCTGGTTTTGGTATTAGTTCTTAGTCCAGCTTTTCTGGTGATGTCATTAATGTCATCGAACCAAAAAGGGAAGTGAGTGTGGAATAAGGGGAAGAGCACTAAACAGCAGTCTTTATTTGGGAGGGATGTTTAAAGTGTAGATCTGAAAATTTTAAAAGACTATAATAAAAAACTTTGATACGAAATGAATATAGTGATTGACATTGTGGTCTCCAAGTGGCTACTTATGCATTACTTCTGCAAAGCAAAAGGGGATATTCTGCAGACAGCCTCGGGGTTGTAAGGCATGCAAAATCTCTTGCTGATACTGCTTGCTTTGGAGGTTTAAAAACCCTTGCATTCATCTTTTTGTGGGTTTTACTTTGACCCTGGTGGAAATAAAAGATTATGTAATATGCAGTATGGTGGATTTGTTGGCATTCAATCAAACTGCTGATTCTTTCAATTTTACTTTGTTTTCCTCCCTTGAACCTGTAGTCTGTGCCCTCAGGAGCATCTACAATGGTTACCGGGCTGGTGTCCACAGCTACACAGTCTCTGAAGGATGGTAAGACAGCCTTGATTATTTTAGATGGTTTATCAGCATGGGAGATATAACCCAAAATTATAGAGACTAGCAATTTGGAAGCATATAGACTTTTTTAGGAAGTCAAACAAGGGCAATTCCTTAAGGTTCGTATTAGTTATTAGTAACTACATGGAAATTTTCCACGGTTGGTCAGGAGAGGGGAATGGTATATGCACATTATAGCAACTCATTTAGGATTTAAAGCTATCCAAAATGCAAAATTAAGACTTGCAAAGAATCTCCAGTATGCTGCTGAGGTATGGCTTCAGGATTTGAAGGAACTGTTTTCTGTCTTGTGTTATATCTTGGCAACAACAGTAAAGGCTTCTCATTTTGTGCCATTGTGCCGTGTTCTTTATGTAGGGTACCTGTTCCTAACCTAAGAATGTTTCCTATCTATTTAAATAGAGAAATGAAGATTATATTACTAAAAATTTAAGAAAGGTAGTAGGAAAACCAGACTCCCTTCTCGCTGCTTTAGAACAGCTGAAGGTTGACAGGATGATTGAGAATTTAAGTCTTGACTGATCAATGACTTCCAAGTCTAAATGAGTTCAGCTGGGGGACACAACTTGTAAAATAATCTGAGACTTTCCTGTCAGTATTCCCCTAATTGTTTTAATTTAAAAAATCTTCCTTTTTTTAAAATAAACTGTTAATGTGGTAGTTAAGATTATTTCTGAACTATCTAGTAAACTTCATTTAACTTGCTTGTGCCTCTGAAGTTCAATGGCAAACCTTCAAAAGCTAATAAAACCAGTAGGAAAATAAAATACTCCCATTTTGGTATGTCACTAGTGAACTATAGCACAGAACTCATTGGTCTGCCAGAAAATTAGTTGGTTCTTGCCTGCTGAGGTCTAGAAGGTAAAAGTAAAGAAACTGTGAAGTTGCTTAATAAACACAGCAAGCTGTCCAATAGAACTGATTTAAAAATAGTGTTATTGCTCAGCTTTGTAATTTTATACTGCTAGTGCATACAGCAACAAAATTAGGAGCTGACACCTAAGAATCCAGCTCTGAAAGCTTCAGATAAGACTGCTTTGAGTAAATGAGGTTTATAGCATTTCTTCAGCTTACCGCTTTTCTATTAATAAATTGTCCCCAATGTTCGTGAAATTTAGTTAGTCAGTGTGGGTATTGAATTAAAATAAGTTTTTTCTTACATAAATTTCAGGGTTTTTATTCTTTGGCTATTTCATATCCCTGCTTGAAATCAGTGCGCTTATTTTACTGCTATCTAAAACTGTACTTTTAGCAAATATACTGTGCAGGGAAACTTTATAGAAAAATACTTACCTTAAATATTGCAGTTCGATATTCTATGTGGTAAAGTTGAAAAAAGAGATCAGGTTCCATGAATCCAAAGGCCTATTAGGAGTTAACTGGTAGTTGAGTTGAAGTAGATAAAAGAAGTTGTTGGAGTTAAATAATTTGTTGCTCATTTTCTTCTTAATCCCATTCTCCTTTTGCTTAGGTTCAGCATCATGCGGTGGAGAGACCAGTGCTGTGGTTACCACAGCAGGTGCCAGTGTTCTTAAGATGGGACGATTTCAGGTAGGAGATGTTAACGTGATTTGGTGGTTGATACAGGATATTTGCTGAGCAGTTCCTGCATAGTGCCAGCTCGGTGTGCCTCATGGTGGGCTTTTCTGTTGGCAGAAAATGTCCATGTTGAGCTTGTGAATACAGTGCTTTGTGCAGATGTTGTTTTCATTTGAGGCAGAGATTGCACCAGATTATGCAGGTCTAGAATTCTGAATACAGCATTTCATCATGTCAAGCCTTAGTTGCGTAACTGTTGGCCTTGGGTCTTTAAAATTAGCTGCTTTTTGGCTAACAGTGTTCAAATGTTTGCTGTATTGTGTCCGGTTTGCGAAGGAAGTCCCCTCTGAATCTGCTGTGTTTCTTGGAGTTAATCGTCTGGATTGCTTAAAAGCGCTATTTTGTGTGGCAGTGTGTTACTTGGACGGAAGCAGTAGGTTGCTTGGTGGCGTACTAAGGAAACAACTAATTTTCCCTTCTCCGATGCATCTTACTATTAAGGTAAATAAAAGCAACGTGTTAAGGAAGAACTAAGAAAGTCTGCATGATTGCATTTCTATTCTAGGTATCCGTGGCGGTAGATGATGTGCTAAAAGAGAGTGACAAACCTGAAACTAAGCCAGTCCATTTTGAAACAACCTCCACTGATTCTTCATCCCTTTCTGGCAGTAGCCCAGAGAGTACACTGGTAAAGCAGGCTGGCAGTCGGAAAAGCGAGGCTGTTGCTGACTCCTCCTTGGATGTGGTAGATGGCATTCCTCAGACAGTTCCTGTGCTGCAATTACCAGTAGATGTTGGTCAGCCTACTAAGGTTGGGCGCTTTCAGGTAACAACAACAACAGATCAAGTGGGACGATTTTCGGTGTCGAAGACTCAGGATGAGCTCAGCTGTGCAGAGAAAGAGGCGATGACCCTTCCTCTCTCTGTGGGCTTGGAACAAGTTGCTTCTTCAGCTGCAGCTCCGAAGAAAGAGCTGGAGTCAAGGCAGTCCCCACACTTGAATGGTCCGTCCTCTGAACCGGAGGCTGCCTTCTTAAGCGGGATGGCTAAGGATTTGGATGATGGCTCGGGGAGCCCAGACTCCCTCCAGCCCCTGGGGTCGAAGATCAGCCTCCCTGTTCAGAGCCTTAGCAACTCATTCAACTCTTCCTACATGAGCAGTGACAATGAGTCGGATATTGAAGATGAAGACTTGAAATTGGAACTCCGTCGGTTACGGGAGAAGTAAGGTTTTTTCCTTGTGTGGTCGTGCATGAAATATATATAACAAGACTAATAAGAATTTCATCCATACTTTACTTTTCACAAAGAACAGAAGTAAACTTCTTTAAAAGACTCAGTCTTTGCTAAGTGTCAGGACCTGTTGTCAGTGTTTATGTGGGAAGTAAGATTCTTTAGTGGGAAAGTAGTACACAATTATAACAAAAAAGGTATATACATGTTTGCTGTACTTAATTTTCTAACCTGTATCCTTGTTGTATTTGTTTATATGTAGATTGATTGCTGCACTGTGGATAAGACTGCAGATGTATAGAAGCTTCTGCATGTCACTGAAGTTTAGTAGCCTGTGGGAATTAGTGTCTCATTTGAAAATGACACACAACTCTGCATTTTTAATACGCATTTCTGGCATTTCCAGTGGTTCTCCTTTTCCTGAAGAATCCTTGTTGGCTTAGAAAAAAACTTAGAAGTCCAGCAATGTGACATGCTAATTTATTTATACTGAAAGTTGAACTCTTTTTTTAGTGCAGCTGGCAATTTTAAATCTTGTGTATGCAACTGCTCTGGAAAAAAAACCCCTAAGGCAATACAAATGTAGAAAGCCTTCTCCAAGGCCATGTGTCTCAGAAAATGAGTAATCTAGCTATTCCTGTAGCATTTTAATGCTGAATGATTTGATCTTCTACAGTAGGTGCATGCTTGTTTGTACTTTGATTTATCCTGGTTTTATGATTACAACGTTAGGAACTTTGTGTTGGAATTCTAGCCAAGGTTAGAGCTCAGTGGAAAATGGCAAGCGTTGCGTCATGTGTGTTCAGTGGTTATTTGTGGAAAAGATTTATTTCCTCCTTTCTTAAATGTTAATGAGAGTTTGACCAAAGAAGCTGGTCAAGCTTGACTGGAGGGGAGGGATTGTATGCATGCATGTATATACATATCATTTTTCTAAGTCATACTCTTTGGTAACTTCTTAGGCACCTTAAAGAGATCCAGGAGCTGCAGAGTCGCCAGAAGCAGGAGATTGAGTCACTATACATGAAATTGGGAAAGGCCCCACCTGCAGTAATCATTCCTCCAGCTGCACCCCTTTCCGGAAGGAGGAGACGACCTACTAAAGGAAAAAGCAGCAAATCTAGTCGTAGCAGCTCCCAGGGAAATAAAAGCCCTCAGCTATCTGGTAAGATTTTCTTCAATTTTTTGAGTAGATAAAACAGACAAGGTACCATCTGTTGTTCTTAGATCTATGTCTCTGTCTCTCTGTCTTGAGGGGGGGTGTGTGTGTCCCAGTTTCTCCACTGCCTGGACTACTAGATCATTTTTTGAAATTGCTTTTGCAATTTGGTAGTTTTGCTTGTGTCTTTTGCAATCTCCTGAAAGCTACTGTTACATTGTTCTGTAAGAGCAGTTTTAAACTTGTGATTTGTATTTTTTAGGTGTTAGTCATAGGGCTCTGACTAGGAAGACAAGTATAAATTTACAGTGTGTGGGAAAACTTTATTTTTTTTGTAACTTTTTTAAATTTTATTTTTTTTAAGATAAACTGCTTTTGCTGTTTCCTGAAACTGATTTGCAGAATGGGGCTGGTCTCTTCAGTCATCTTCAGAGTTGTTTGGGTTTTTTTCTACTTTGGTAGCACTTAAGCCTGGTATTACTGATGTCCTTACACTTCAGAAACTTAGTCACAGTTGATGGATGTTAAAGTAGTGATTTTTTTTTTTAATGGATTTGCAATTTTTTGGTACTTAGAAATTGAGAAACAGTTCCAATTGTCAAGGCTTCCTTTCTTCCTGAAACCATTTTTATAATAAACAGAACTCAAAAATAGTTCTGCTTACTGTTTGAATGACATGGATGTCAGACGCTTGCTGGGTAATTGTAGATGTCTCAAATCCTGGAGCACTGAGTAGACAGTGTTGGAGGGCCAGCACTATGAGCAGAAATACTTGTTACTGTTTCTTGCACATTCACTTTGGTAATTTCAGGTCATGCCGCAATTTCTGTATCCAGTTAGCCTGGCTACTCACTTCTGTTTTGTTATATAATATGTGTATGTTATACGACGTATATTATATGATATACATGTATGGAGCTATGTGTAAGTATGTGACAGTGAGCTAGCACAGAGCTGCCTTAAAACTTAAGCAAATAAGAATTTTCCTAGTCTTGCTGCTTTCTCAGAAACTGGAGTAGTTCCCTCCCCCTGCCTCCCCTTCTCTTGCCTGGCTTGTCATGCTTGACCAGAGGATCGTATCCATTTTTTCCCCCACCACAGCACTTTTTCCTGTATCACTAGCGTAATAGCTCAACTGATCATTTGAGATCACTCCCTAGTAAACACTCCAGTCAAACTTTCCTCTGTTTTTTTTTACCTCCTGCCCCTTGGGAACAATGGCAGAAGCTCGGAAAATGATGTGGGGAAAACTGAAACGTTGAACGACTTTCTGCCTTCCTTCTTCCTCTAGGCAATCTGTCAGCTCAAAGTGCACCATCAGTCTTGCCCCCACAGCAGACTCTTCATCCTCCTGGTAGTGTGCCAGAGACTGGGCAGAACCATTTGTTACAGCCCCTCAAACCTTCACCTTCTAGCGAAAATCTCTACTCTGCCTTTACCAGTGATGGTGCCCTATCGGTACCAAGCCTTTCGGCACCAGGCCAAGGTAAGACTTTAAATGGAATTAGTGTCGAGTCTTGCACCTTTGTTACTGGTGAAGGAACGATCAACTTGATGACACTTTTAATATATAGCGTAAAGTAGATGGGTAGTCTCCAGCCTGCGTGTGGAGGCTTATAAAGGTGGTTTTTGCAACTAGATTTCTACCTTCTCGCATAAGTGAAGTGTGAGGTTGTTGAAGTAATGAATGTATAGTCTGCTGTAATGAAAGCACAAAGAGTAGAAAAGAGTGGAGTGTGGCGGCAGCAAGCAATGTTCTGCTGACCTGGGGGAAAAGTATTGGCTGGAAGGATGAGGAGACAATGAGAATGGGGGATTGGAAATACAAAGTGAGACTAAGGATTGGGCGTGGATGGTAACAGGTAGTTGAAATGGTAGGAAATTTATGAAGACTCAGGGTCCTTTTAGATTGCCAAACTGCTTTGGCTGTTTCTGTCAATGGCATTTTTAACAAAAAAAGGTAAAAATTTAGGCTCATGTTCTGCAATTGTGACTTAAAGAATTATCCTGGAAGGAAGAGTTAGTATAGGAGGATGGAATGGTAGGAATAATAAATAGTTCATTTACTCAAGTTCCTCAAGTTGTGGATTGCTTTTTATTAGTTAGTATGTTATGCAGTAATTTCTCAGACACAGCTCTGATTTATTTGGTAGGGAGGGCTTTTATGCTTGCCAGTCATTAAGGAGTGATAGCTTGATTCCTTTACCTCTCTGAATTTAGCTGTTCCATTTTTTTTTTCCTCTTGAACATATTTTTGAAAAGCTTTGCTATAGACTGAATACATCAATTCTAATGCATGTTTTTGCTGAAATTGGAGAAGTACAGACAGAAAATGGAAACAGTCTTTCTGGAAGAATTTTCTATAAAAGGTTTTTTAATGAACTGTTTCAAGTATTTTGGAGCTACTTGAACCATCTCCCTGTATCTGGAGTTGTGCAGTACCATTTTATAATTTGATACTTTTGCCAGGATTTGGCTTTTGTATAGATCGCAACCTTATTGTTGGATTATGTACTGGAGACTAACAATGCAAACTCGGCCTAATGTCTGGAGGTATTGGAGGGAGCCTCTTCACTCTGTATATTGTCTGCCTGCTCTTTGGTCCACACTTTGAGGCTTATTCTTGTGTGTCATGTTAATGCATTTCACCCTTCCAACCTCAAGTTGCTAACATCTTGTAGTGGTGTTCTGTCTCTTCTCCTCTCCTTTCTCTGTTCTTCCCGTTTTTGTTTTCTCACAGGCTGTGCGAAGTTTAACTGTGCATCTGAGAGAGTGACGTTCAAGCCTGGTGGCAGGAGGACCCGATTTCTGAGTACGCCCTGCTTGGCTCTTTGTGTGTAACACCTTTACTCCTTCCTTGTCTGTTTTTTGTTTCGTCTTTTTGGTTTGTTTTTTTTTCTGCTGCTTGGATCCATTTCCTGCAGCCTATTCTCATCTGCCACCTTGTATTCCCTCCCATTCCATGGCTCAGCTGAGCTGCTCTTAGCACACCTTGAGAAGTTTGGGTTCTCATGTTAGGTATTCTCTGTTGTTAAACTCATAACAAGCACTCATTTTCTCTAAGCTTTTGGTGGAAACTTTCAGTGAAATGACAGAAACTGGGGAGAGTTAGTAAGTTGTGGGCACATTGGCATTTTCTTTTGGCCTGCCTTAGTAGTCATGCTTCAGCATATGTTAGCTGATGTGAGACTTGGAGGGGAGGTAGTCTTTCTAGTAGAACAGGCAGGAAGATTTGTTTTCCAAATTATTCCTTTGTTGGACACTATAACTGATGGGGGGAATACGTTGACTTCCTCCAGCAGTATGCTTGCTGTGCAAGCTGGATGTGGTTTTGCACTTTCTCAGCACTAGTGCTGATTACAGTGTAGAGCATTGATGCCACCTGTAGGCAGTTAATATTGACTTATGTTCATTAGCAGATGGAGAGCTAAAGATTGAAGTGCTGAGGGTTTTAAAAATACTTAGAGAATATTTTCAGGCAAACTCAAAAGATCATTACGTACTAATGGGCCCAGGTTTAGAAGTTTCTATTGTGAATTGAAGATACACTGAGTGTGCAACAAACAGCAGTAAAGGTGGGTCAGTAGACATCTTCAGACATCCTGTCAACCCTCATGAGTTACCTTGCAGCTCTTTTCAAAATCCTTTTGTTTGTACTTACATTGGGTCAGACTTACGAGAGAGCCTCAAACTTCTGATGTGATTGAAGTAATAATATGCTTGAGCCGAGGCTGCTGATGTGATGCTTTTTATTGGGAGCGCTGCAACATCTCCCATGCTGCTTCCGCAGGCTGGACCCTTTAAATGTCTGACGTTTGTTTCCCACCCTCTGGAATGACTTGATCTGAGAAAGCTTTAAGTGCTGTAAAGAGACCGTCAGCTGCTGCACTGCATGACAGTACCACGCATCTGTAGCATCTGTCTCGCTGCAGGTGGCAGTAGCACAGCTGAGCCAGAGTTGTGTGCGGGAACTGGGCCTGGCCTTCTGCAGAGACAGCTGCAATGCAACCAGCTCCATCCACTCAGAAAGGGAGCGAGTCAGAGGGAGGGGAGATTTTTTCCTGACTGTTCAGTTTTGCAATGATACCTCTATCCCACTTCATTGGATTTGGAGATATAAGTACTAATGTTATTTAGTTTTTCAAATTGAGCAGCTTTAAATGTTTTTGCTAGGTATATTAATGTACAGATGTGCACTAACTGACATCTGCAATCTCAAGATTTACGGCTCCTTTCTTGGAAGAAATTAAATTCTTATCAAAGCTAACCCTTTAAAATCATCTTTAGTCTGGCCTGTCCTTTTTTGGGGTAAGGAATATAAAGAACAGCTGTTCTGTTTCTAGAATTGACAATGAACTGCATATATGAGAGTATCATTTACTTATAAGGCCTTGACTTGCTGCAAATTGACCATCATCTGGCTATTAAGAGTGCTTTGGCATGCATGGCTGTTGCTTATGGGACTGGTGCTGAGGGAAATGGATTCCTTTTGAAAAGTGTGTTGTAGCTCTCCTGTGAAAGCAAGTAGTACTTGGCATGGTGCAGCTTGGCCTGGCACTTGGCTTATTGCAGGTTGCTTGCTTCCTGGAGTCTTGTCCTTGACATGCTGTTGCAGACTGTTGTGGAGAGTGACAACTGGAGAAGATGCTGGGTTAGAATCAGTGGTGTTGAGGAAACAGTGCAGTAATTGATGCTTTAACTGTGCAGCTGGAGAAACAGAGTGGTACAGCTTGGCAGGGAATGTCTGAACTATTCCACGAATCTGAGAAAACAGAGTGACAAACTAGAAGCACCTGACCTATCAAATCAATCTTTCTCACGTTGTAAACCAATCGAACTTTGATAGTTGCAAAATGCTTCCGATGTCATGACAAAAATGGAAGATGTCCTTGCCTTTTCTTTTGTGATAACAGCTAGTTGTGATTGTAATGTCTCCTGACATTCTTCGCTATGGTTTGGGAATTCTAAAGAATAAATGTAAGGAGGCTGGGCCTCTTCTCTTTCTGAACGTACAACTGATTAAACTGTCAGACCAGTTTTGGGGTTTTTCCTAGAGTATCCCAGTAGTGACTACAAGAGCCCTGCTGTGCTGTGTCCTCTGTTTCTCACCAAGCTTTTTGTACTGTTTGCTGATACTAAACATTTCTCACTGTTTCTCTTATCTTTAACAAATTACTCTCTCTTTGTGCTTCAGGGAAGATGGTGAAAAAAGTCTGTCCTTGCAACCAGCTCTGTAGTAATTATCTTATTTCTGTTAACTCCAATTCTTGATTGTAAAGCTATTCATCAGCTTTTTCTGGTCACTGAAGCCTTACCTCCATGACTCTGTCTCCAGCACAGCATCTGTCTGTCTGTTACGCCCTCTAATGTGTACTCTGTTGTTAATATATTGAATTGTCTGGCTATTACTCTTGCAGACAAGTGGAGGCAGGCAGAACTTCACCTTCACGGTGGAACTCTTTGCTCATCGCTAACGAGAGTGAGTTGAGCATCAGGGTCAGTTGCTCGCTGTAATGTTCTGGAGTTGTACCTTTGAGCAGCTGGTTTGTTTACAGATCTGATGGGGCTTGCTGCCTCAGTCATGGATCCAATTGCAGACACTCCTTCAGCATTTTAAAAGAGTAAGAGAAAGCTATCAGTGATCTCCGGTGTGTCTCCCAAAGCAGGAGGTGTTTAGAAAAGCCCATATGTACTCATGTCATTTAAGACTGTTTTAAAGGTGTCTTTTGACTGCTGGTTTATGGGGGGGAAAAATAAAAGGGCAGAATGAAGCCATTATAGGTAGCAGGCTGGAGAGAGAGAAGCCTGTTTCACTTCAGATCCTTCACGTCAGAGCAGAA